GTGTTGGAGTATTATTACTTTTATTATTTAGTAAATACGAATCAAAAATTTATAATATCGGGCAGTTTACCACACATTTCAAGTCCACAGATCGCCGTTGTATTTTAGAGTTATATATAATAGTTTTATTATTTTGTAAATACGAATCCGAAATTAATTATATTTGGGCAGTTTACCACACATTTTATGTCTACAGATTGTCGATACAACCATGAGTTACGTTGAACAGAATTAAATTAATACGGCATAATATTTTAAATGCTGGTATCGGTCATGGATTGGATTATTGGCAAAAAAAAAATCATCCTGGTAAAAGATCGATACTTTTAACTATCGCTATCAAAATTATTTGCCAGAAAGCGGGTAAAAGTATTTTTCCTAATAAATCGACTAGTTTTTTCGACTTGCAACTATTCATTGGATATCGTAACAATTACGGCTATAAATAATTGTCAATTTTCGACGTAATGGAAATGGATGTGTAAATTAAAAGCGTAATGTGTAAATGTCCTCTCACGCAAATGTGCAAATGTGCCGCAACACTATGCGACGCACGGTCGCACAGAATATAAACAATCAGAGTGCCGATTCTATTTCATCGTCATTACAATACGTGAGAAAGCCTAAAAAGTCGTTTGAAGATTCCGGTAAAACGAAACACCGTGTTCACGGCGAAAAGTGGCTACCATTCAGAATTATTCGAAAATCAGCCGAAAAGGTATTCGAATACCTTGATATTCGAATATTCGATTCGTTTTGGACAACCCCGAGTCCTCAGAATATTTATTGAAAAAAATAGCCTAGTATTAGAGCCACCAACAATCTTCAACCAAAAATCACTTGGTTCAATAGTTGAATAAAAAATGGACTGATGCACTAATTTTGCTATAAAAATCTCTGTGGTGCCCGCGTTGCTTGGTTCCCTTAAGCACATGCTTATATTGCTTAATGGTTAATCCAGCGCTGATTATGACCCCTTGCCCTCAGGATAGGATTTATATATTTAAGCCGATAAGCTGACCGAATCCCATACCGAACCATAACTTCTCATGCAGTTACCAGTCCATGTTGGGTACTGGATTGGTTGCCATTTATTATTCCCGGATGCATGAACTTGATGATAGAAGAAGCTGTAACCGACCAGTGGTTACATGACCCACCCTACGAAAAAGAGTCCAGCAATCTCCTCGCACATATTTGCGAGTCGCGGCAGACCGCTAAGCCGATCATCACATTTGTGATTACACTCCAACTCAATATAATTAGCTTCATGTATAAGGAGTTTGATTGCATATAACTTGAAAATTGAAATACAGTTTATGATTCTAACAAAATACAGTACACATCATAATTTCTTCTAGTAGGCAGAAAATTTTTGCATTGCACTTGCAGTTCACCCAAGTAATAAAATCATAAAATTGGTGATAAAAACTAAAAATTTTGAATAATAAGATGCAGGCCAGGGGTCGGCAACCTACGGCCCGCGGACTGGATCCGGCCCGCGTCGCTTCACTAAATTATAGTAACGAAACATCCGTTTTGACGAATATATTCTTCAGACTAAATTATATTATAACCTAACAATTATATATTTCACAATTACTCGTTTAATGAGCATATAATTTAATCATAATTAGGCAAATGGAAAAAAAAAACGCAGAAAAGTTGAGACTAAGTGCAAGGGGGTTCATTGGCGCTGAAAATATTCAAATGGAATTTTATGAGATGCAATGAGGAAATTGATCTATATTCTATTCGAGAAATGTATCACTGCCTGATTTTTATTATAAAAAGTACCATCCGTTCGGTTTTTCGACTTTCTAAAAATATGTGCGGCCCGCCAATGACTTGCAACCTTAATTTTGGCCCACGAGCGACAAAAGGCTTGACCGACCCTTGCTTTATAGCCTTTAATATTATAACATCATAATTATAACACCATTAGTAACTGACTAAATAATCTCATACCCAACATTGACTGGTAACCGGACGAGAGAGAGAGAGAGAAAGAGAGAGATTTATTATTTGTCAACCAGAAAAAACATAAATACAATGATAGGATAGGATAGGATTTACATATTTATCCCGGGGGAGAGGAAAGCCGATAAGACGGCTTATCCATATGGCGAACCACGGCCTCTCGTCCGGTTACCATCCCAAGTCGGGTATGGGATTAGTTTTTACTGTATTGTTTGTTTTCGGAAGCATGGACTTGGCGGTGGAGGAAGCCGTAACCGACCAGCGGTTACGTGAACCACCCAACGACGGCGAGGAGTCCAGCAATCCTCTCGCACATAACCATCCCTGCATGGGATTCGAACCTGCGAACCCACGCAGAATAATTAGAGGTGCGGTGGCGAGCGTATTCCTATTCAGGACTATTATATGCAATAATTGTTACGCTAAGATAAGTATAAGTTATTGAGGTAAGAAACTACATCCATTGCGCTAAGGCAAATTAATATGTCGGTTTCTGCTTGTCTAAAGCCGTGCATAGAGTGAAAGCGTTCCACGTCCTATTAATAAAATGCGACACAATACATGATCAGTCTCTGGATATTAAATAACAAGTATTTATGTCTGCGGTACCCAACCTCAATCCTTGCGTGAATTAAATGTTCTTTCTGTTTGTCTAAAGCCTTGCTTAGAGCGGTATCGTATACCCCCCTATTAATAGATCGTAGCACAATACATGAGCTATTGCTGGAGCTGGACAAAAAATAACAAGTCTTTATGTGTGTGGTACCCAACTTCAACCATAGCGTAAAATAACATGTGTTTTCTGCTTGTCTAAAGCCTTGGTTAGAGCTGTATCGTATAACGCTCTATTTCTGGACAGAAATTGGTCAGAATGGGATATCGTGAACGTTCCTTGGCGACAATTTAGTCGCTTGGGATGCTTGTTTATTTTGAGCTCTGCACAACGACCCCGATAAGAGAGAGGTCGGTGACGTATTGAGTTTGTTGACATACTCGTAGACGCCATTACGGGTGACCGTCGCTAAACTTTGGCAAGTTGTATTTCGTTATTGTCACGTAGCAGTGACGTAATTTTTGGATGACGTCATCAGGGGGGGGGGGTCAGGAATCATATATCCAAAAATTGTTACGCCACGCCCACTAGAAGTTATTCAGGTAAGAAAGTACATGAGACCCGTTTTCTCCTCCCGTAAGCCGTATTATCGGATTTCCTCTCCTCCGGCATAAATATGTACCATCTGCTACTGAGAGAAGATTAAACAATTTGACATATAGCACAGTTCATAGATTTCAAGAATATCCCACACGATAAGACATCAATTATAACAAACTTTGCACCTTTTTTTTATATCTGTCCACTACTTTGACTAACTATCAACACTCACTCAATCATGATTGGTATCTTGAGACTCCGTAAATAGGTTTGTTTGTATTGACAATGCGTATGCTGAGACAAGTTCAAATTTTGTTTTTCCAGTTCCATACTTTTTTCATATTGTTGCGGACCCCCGGTACAGTTATCACGGACCCCCTGGGGTCCGCCGAACCCAGTTTGGAAAACCGTGATATAGATGACTCGAGTTATTTTAAGAAAATTCAACAAAACTGCCATGCTAGGGAATGCCGAGCCAAAAAGATCGATCACAATCTTTTCATATTGTTGCGAACCCCCATGACAGTTATCAATCTTATGACTCGAGGTTTGGGGATTCAGGAGGTGTGGCTCATTGTGCTAAGCGTTAGGAATATGCGGCCACCACACCTCTGATTACTCTGCGTGGGTTCGCTGGCTCGAATCCCATGCAGGGATGGTTATCTGCGAGAGGATTGCTGGACTTCTCGCAGCCGTTGGGTGGTTCACGTATGCGCTTTACGTTACATCTTCCTTCTCCATCAAGTCCATGCTTCCGAAAACAAATAATTAACTAATCCCATACCCCAAACCTAACAGGGGACAGGGGTGTTTAAATATATTGTGGCTGCTTTTTGAAATGAAAGCATGAAGTTGTAGAAAATGGTAATTCAGCCTGCAGCTGCCAATTTCAGTCCAAACTCAAATATTTCCCCTGATTTTCATGTCATAGGACAGGTATTTCTTAATTATTCCAGAGTCAGGAAAGTCTCTAAGGCAGCGTAATCATACCATTTCATTTATCAGCCCACGTACGGTGTGGGAATAGATAACTAGATACAAAGTCGGGGTCTTCTGAAATACACGCTGCAAGTACTTCTAGTTGGCCTGGCTCGACAATTTTTGCATATGTCATTCCCAACCCCCACTTGAATATGTCATCAGAAGTCGCATTGACGTAATACTGCCCTCTGAAGGATGGTCGCCCGAACAATCGTCCCAAATCGAGCAAGCTATTTTTCTCGTCGATATGATGTCAGTGAGTTCATTACAGTCGGCACAAATGGCATTTCGGACGATCGTGGCTATACTTTAGCAAGCTCCATGACGCAATCGTGACGTCGCAGTGATGTCATTTGTGGGTGACTAACTCAGGTGGGGGTTAGGAATATTATACTAGTAAAATCGTTGTGCTACGCCCCACTAGAAGTATCTAAGAGCGCATACTTCAGGAGACCCCACAGTTGGTATGTGTATCATCCTATGAATGCAAAAATTCTTGCAATTTCATCAATTACCCCCAGTCTGTATTTAAGTCCTGTATGCACACACAGATGCTTTCTAGCACTAGCACAATACACGCCGACCACAAAATCTTTATCATTAGGTGGTTCATGTAACTGCTGGTCAATTACGGATTCTTCTACCATCAATCTTAAAACTAATGCCCGGCTAACTAGTCCCATACCTGACATGTATTGATAACCAGATGGGAGGCGCGAGGTTCACCATACGATGAAGCCATCTTATTGACTCTCCTCTCCCTAGGGATAAATATGTAAATCTTATCCTATTATGACTTCATGCCCGATTTCTGTTCCAAACACTCCAAATTCCATACAAAATAATACAATTAGTTTTGTGCATGAAGAGTTTGATTGCCTATAATTTGAAAAGTGAAATACAGTTCATGATTCTAACAAAATACAGTATATCATAGTTTCTTCTGGTGGAAAATGAAATTTTGCAATTTGCTAACTACTTGGTAATTGCAGCCAGAACAAGTGTTTGTAGATATTTGAAATTAGGTAAAAACAATATGTTGGGTGAATCATTTTATTAATCACATTTGTCATTCAGACCATAATATGCTTCATACAACTCCTAAAAACTAAAACCAATGAAATTTACATATATATATATATAACTTGAGAGACCTCATCCATTCCAAAGTTATTTGCTATAATGCTGCTTTTTCAAAGCCTCCCTCCGAGAAAAGTGAGGAGGATATACGGAATAAAAATTACACCCGGGATAAGTTGAACTGAATTTGCTTTACTGATAAATCAAACAGATCTTTGGTAACAATTTGTGGCGCTACAGAAGTATGCGTACCAATGTGGAGGTAACTAATTTTGTTCGCCTAACCTACACATACTACAGGAGTACCCAATTCGTAATACACCTTAGGTGGAGAACGTATGGCATTGACGATTAATGAGAAGTTTGGTTGACGATTAATGAGATGTATAACAAATACAGTGGAATAAAATTTCATAACTCCCAGGAGTCCAGAGTTTCCGGAAGAAAAACTTGAAATTTACATTTTAGGTAAAAACAACAGTGAATTTATTTTAACATAAATATTCATTAAAACCTAAAAAAGGCAAAACTCTGTAAAAAGGCTTTTACTTTTTGTTGTCTAGAACAGGGTTTACCAAACTTTTTCGGGCCGGGGACAGATAATGTTGCATTTACAACACAAACGGCATTAATGTGCACAATTTTTTTTGATTTTCAAAGCAATTTGTGACGAGCATCTGAATGGAACAGCAGAAAGAAGACAAATTCGACAGAACGTAAAATTTAGGAAAAGACTATTTGCATAATGACGTGGGATTCAACTTGCTAAAAAAGTTGCTAAAAACTTATAAAAATTACATAGATTCCACATAAAAAGCAACCAAATTTACAAACCATTTAAAAACCCTTTGGCAGTTACACGAATAAAACAGATGAAATTTGAACAAACACGAAATTTCTAAATATTATTACTATAAAATCAAGCGAAATTTTTGGACACCCTGTATATAAATTCCCTTTTGCAAATAAAAAAAAATGTGAGGCTTTATGAACAAACACCTTATATATGTGTGCTATATCATTTTTTGATTAACTTTCCTGATAATGAATGTAATATAAAATATTTCAATTTTGATGTTTGCACTTGGTAATCAGATGACAGCAGGTTTATAAATGGAGGTTACCATCACATGCTAGTTTTTTACTGCTTTCTACATTTGATTATTCCCATGTTATTTTTATTGTATTTTTCGGCGCTTATGAAGTATGTGTACCAAGATGACGCACAACCTGGCCCTAACCTGTTGTTACACATACTATGTTCAGGTTGTGCGACATATTAATGCACATACTTCTGGAGGTCCTATTTATCCATAATTCAAGCATCTATTTATTTACAATGTCTAAAAACTTTTTCGCCTGGAATCGTATTTGTTTATTTGCTATGTCTAATATGGAATCGAAATAAACTTATATCAATTAAGACATGATGTTACTTCCAAGGGAGGTGTCCATCATAATCAATTTATGCGTCCTTCCTTGGAAATTCAGTGAGCAGTCAAAACAATTTCCCTACTTTTCATCGTATTTATAATGATTGATCACTCAATCTATACCTAATAAACAATTGTTGGTCACTTGTATTCAAAATATACTAAGGAAGAAATAGTTTTTTGGTGGGAAAACAGAGACCATTTTCAGATTGAAAAAGAATATATTTAGAACTTACAATTTATGGTTAGAACAGTCTACAGACATTTTCCTGATTCAAGCTTACCGGTATACTTATTATACTTATACTAAACTTATACCAATTAAGACATGGTGTTATTTTCAAGAGGGGTGTCCACCCTAATCTATTTGTGTGTTTAAAAATGGTTCACAAGGAGACTTCAATTATATCATTAGAAATTAAGTTCTCTGTAAATTCAGTGAATATTGAAAACATTAATTATCGTATTTATAATGGGTTGATCAATAAATCTATGCCTAATAACCAATTGTTGGTCACTGGATTTCAAAATATACTGAAGGAAAAAATAGCTTTAGTATGGAAGAACAGAAACCATTTTTAGATTGAAAAAGAATATATTTTAGAACTCACAATTTATGAGTATTTAGAACAGACGTTTTGGGTCACGCCGTTGCTCTATTATTAACTCACACACGCATTGATTGAGAAATAAGGGTACCTAATAGGGGGGAAGATTTTGGATAATGTGGGATTAAATTTCTGCTTATAGGACATTTAGCCAACCTTCTATGCCAGGGTTTTTTAAACTGGGAACCCTGGAAATCCGTGATGATTTCACTGGGGGTCCACAATCATTTGAAAAGAGTCTGATCAATCTTCAATGATTGGTTATAAGCAACAATCCAGTTTGGGAAACCCTGCTCTACGCAATTTATTTTTACTTTTCCATAAGTAACAGGGGTGTCCAAATATATTGTGGCTGCTTGTTTGCAATGAAATTCTCTATAAATAGAGATAATAATCAGCCACCAGTTTCAGTCCAAACCCTTAAAAAATTTCACCTGATTTTAGGTATTTATTCCAGGGAGAGGAAAGTCTATAAGGCAGCGTAATCATTCGATGAATCATACCCTTTATTTCGGTTATCAGCCCAAGTAGGGTATGAGAATAGATAACTAGATATAAGTTATAATCATCCAGTTGGTATGTGTAACAACACCCTACGGCAAAAGTCCCAGCAATTTTACCAATTATCTGCGCAAAATACCCTAATTCACAACTTAAATTCCACTCCATTCTATGTTTGATTAAAACGTATTTATCGCATAGCCTAACAATTTGCACACTCCACATCTATGAAGCTAGAATGAATGGAAAAAAATTAAAAAGGACGAAAATTTTATGAAAATAATATTGGCATAATGACAAGAGATTGAACTTCGTCATATATAATTGTGAAAAAAAATACATTTAATGATTTACATAAAAATAAATCAAATATACAAGCTTTTTTAAATTTTTTAAAAATACTTTAGCAGGTATATATGAAGTTAATAAAGCAGAAATAACAGAATAACCAGAATCTTTATAACAGAGAATAATTTTACTAATTTACATAAAAATTACAAACTTTTCAAAATTTCTCCAGCAGTTAGTTATAGTTAATGACAGCAGAAATTTTAGACAAAAACATAATCACCGAAAACATAAATTAGATTTGGACTATCAGGTCTGTAGAGGCAAAATTGTGATTAATTTGCAGGCTTCATGGTTGTGATAGGAGTCAATATCCCTAACAGAAAATCGAAAGAGTTAAAAGTCAAAATTTTCAACAGGAACTCATGAAGAATGGAGCTGAATAATCATTCTCAATAGTTAATTGAGGAAATTCTACGAGTGCAGCATTTGGACAAAAGTTTTCTTAACTTGAAGTCCGCTCAGAGTTCAGAGCAGAGGTGGGCAAGGTTTTTGGCTGAAGGGCCAAAAATTTTGCTCACCTAGACTGGTGGGCCATGTAAGTGTGACGTAAAGTTAAAGTTAAAGTTTTATTAACAATATTTACAGTGTTACAATATCGTGCCAAAGTCAATCACAATCTCAACAAATTCCTTGTTGAAAAAAATTTGGTTTCAGTGTGGCGCATCAGGCGGGTCATATTGAATTACCCAACGGGCCATAGTTTGCCCATGCCAGGTTTAGAGCCTGTTATTATGTGTCAAGAGCCCTGTATAAAGTATATTATTAATTAATTAGTATTGCAATAATAAGCTATATGAATATGAATATATATATATGGAAGCAGATAATAAGTAAGACAAGACATTTCATAATTGAAAATATTCAAATAATAATGATTGAAGCCATTTTGCATACACTTGGATAAACAGTATGAGTCTGGTTACTCCGGAAATCCTGGGAAAAGATAGAAAAATTGTGATAGGCTGGTTTTCTGCTCACTCATCGCTTTCGCTTCATTAGTGCCATCGCTAGCTTTTACATTGCACCATCCAGTTTTTTCTTTCATCGCTCGATTTACGATCGTCAGCATGTCAGCGACATGGTGCTTTGCTGCTTGGCGCATGAAGACATTCGTTATTGCATTAATAAACCAGGAACCCTCGTAGATATTTCGGAAGGCAGCATGTTCCTCATGTGTAGGATATGCAACAAAAATATCAGAGACAGTCGGCATTCTTCTAGCGCCATCTGTTTGAACACAAACGTTTCCTAAGCTTTCCATAACAGGTTCTTTCATTTTATTATCCGCTGCGATAGTGCCTCTATCTATTATTGTTCCCCTGCAAAATTGAAAAATAAAAAACTTTGGAATGTTTTGCAAGTTTCCATTCTTAGTGTTAAAGAACATCTTCTCGATTTCCTTAACCTCCACCATTTCATGATCACTGCCTTCGAAAACTGGTTTTTCCTTGTCTATTCCCCCGTGAGTCATGATCACGATCACAATGAAGCTATACTTTGTCTTGATTTCACTCACTTCACGAAGCAAATCCCTCATTTGTTTTCCAGTTTTGTCACTTTTCCAGGGTTTGGGGAACGTTTTATTTCCATACAATTCGCATCCAAATTTCTTCCAAAGTGTTGTCATGTTTTTCACATCTATTTCAGCCCCTTTTCGCTCATTTTTGGTGCCTTTGAAAGTGTTGTTTAAAATCAAAGCTAAGCCCTTTGGTTTAGTGATGCTGTAGATCCCCTCATCTGTGAGACTTTTCTCATAATCATTTCTATCACAAGGAATCACTTCAATATTTTTCACAAGTCCACACAAGTCTTCAATGTCTACCAATGAAGGGGCTTCCACACGATGTGCTTCATTCAATTTCTTTTTCATGCTTGGCGACCCTTTAAGAACTTTAATTACCTTTTTCGCTTTTTTTGTAAAACTTCCAGATTTTTTTCCGTCTCTAGCAACAGGGCTTGCTCTTCCATGAAGACTTGAATCATTAGATCCTGATGACATTCTTCTGATTTCAGAATCTTGGACTCCGTTTGGGTCTTCCATCTGAAGTGATATTTTATTTGGCAAGGGCACTGCTGCACTTTCTCCAGTAAATGCTTTCTTTGGCACAGTTTCATTATATTTATAATCTCCATTATTTACGTTTCCCTTCGGTGGCGTCTGTTTAGTGTCACCAGACGTAACATTCGACGCAGAATTTTGAAATTCTGTGGCACTCCTGAATGACACATTCGCACTTTGTTCACTTCTTGAATTGGAAAATGATGGAGCATCTCCTGAGGCAATTAATGGGGCATCCCCTGATGGGGACGTTAATGAAGAATCTTGCCTTTGCGCTAGTCGGACTTCCTGTGGCCGAGGAGCCCCTAGTTGAGGTCTTTCACCTCGATTTTCTAAAAGTTGTTCAAGAAGTTCGACTGTAGCGATTCTTCCTTTTTTTCTTTGCCATGTCAGGACCATCTGATATCTCTGTTCAATCATTCCTTGCATATGATAATTGTATTCACATTCTTCAATCTCAACTTCTGTTAATCCCAGTCTCATTTTTGCAAATTGCGGCCATTCGCTTTTTTTTACGGCTTTGACAACTTCGTAAATCCGATATGATTCATCTTGATATGAAGCCATGACACCAAGCAAGCGACTGACAACAATTGTCAGATAATACGATACCGGATAAAAGTTTTAGTTAAAAGTCTGAAATATAGAGAAAATAGATCTAAATTAATTTTTTGCACACATTCGCTCCGGTCCAGGCTCTAATTCAGGGGTGTGCAACCTGCGGCCTTCAAGGAAGACTTTTGCAGCCTGCTGAGAAGTGCCAATTATGAATGAAGTGCGGCCCACGAAACGAGTTTTTAATTTAATTTGGTACATGCGAGTAATTCAAACCCCTTTGTGTTCCGAAGCCTATACCTTTGTCCAATTTATCATCTTAATTATGCCTATGACTTCACAATGCCCTAACACTCATTTATTTCTATCTGTCCTTCCTGTGTTACAAGCTGAACATCCCTGCTCTGAACAAAAGCAAATTTATTTCTCCTTTAGCTAGTTGGTAAGATACTTAATGTATATTGAACATTGTGTAAGGTGGAGCGCGTGGAATTTGGGCTCAAGTCTTGAACCATCAGACTCAAATTATTCTTAAAATCAAGAATTAACTATTTCAGAAATTCATTCACTCTGTGTAAATTAGTGGATATAAACCTCGTCTAACGCTCTAAGTCTAATTACCTGGCAAGGCAATTTCAATTATATTCTCAGTAAGTAGACTCAACAATCAAAATTATTAATGACCGATATGACACTTGTATATATACTAGAGACACATCATGTTTATAAATAGATAATTACATATGACATTATAAACCAAAGTATTTTACCTGGGGCTAACCCTTTATTTTTTATGAATCACTACCCAGTCACATTGGCAGGCCACTAATTTTATGGTCTGTTCTTTGATTCTGTTAATCTTAGGCCAGAGGAGGGCCATTTACAGCACGCGGGCTGGATTGGCCCACCAAAGTGCTTCATCCTGCTCACTTGTGTCCCCTGAAATTACGACTATAGTTTTATAGATATACTTCCGTTGAAAATATTGAAAAAAAAATAACTAGGTAATACTATAACCCAGTCAATTCAATAGAATATACTACAAACTGTGCAGAAAAATTTTCACAATTTGAAAAACAATTGCAATTCCAAATGACCAATGCATTTGATTTTATTATCACGAGTTGGCCTGTCAGCCTGTAGCTAATTCGATACCTTTTAATGGTCCATAAACTTCCTCATGATTTTTTTTTATAATACCGTTGTAAACAAAAGTTAGCTCGAGATAAATACAGAAAGTAGAACACAACAAACAAAATAGATTTTGATCATTTGATTTTCCCATGATGACATGAGCCATAAAGAAAACCTAAACAATTGTCTATTACTTGTGATTGTTGCAATATTAACAGCTATGAAATGTTGAAGGTGAAACCCCAGGTGAATTAGGAAAAAACTAATGGTTGCTGGAAACCAATGGATAAGGATGTTCATACTTCAACAGTTATTTAGAAGTCAGAAACCAATAAAGATTTCACCATGGAGATGAAAAAAAGCACTTACCCATTTCGAAGTCAATTGCTATTTATACACCAACAAGTAATGTGTGACAAGTGACAGTTAACTAGTGTTGGGAAAAGCCCCTATGGCAGGGGTCGGAAACCCATGGCTCGCAAGCCATATATGGCTCTTTTGGTGATGGCATATGGCTCCCAAAAAAATCTAATATTCTCAGGCTAAGCTTACTATTATGACGAGATTTCAAACTCTTTCATAGCCAAATATGGCGGAAAATTTGCCAATACGTTTTGAGAACACGAGCCCAGCGCATGTAAGAGAATAACCAGACAGGCATTGTCACAAAACTGGGGGATTCTGTGACATCACAAATCAGTAAAGTCTTATTTGTCATATTTAGATCGGACTAGCAAAGCTAGTTTTCAAATACTACAACTACGGAAATGCCTAAACAAAAAGAAGGGTGATGACATGAGTATCGTAGATTTCAACTTGTGCTGTATATGAGCAGCCGTTCAAGTCCTGTAGCGACAACATGCAGCATCCGAAGTCATATCAGACACATATTGACATTGTATGTCTTGACTTTTGAGTAAATATTTCAGGCCTGATTAATTGAAGAAATTCTATATGGCTCGCACGGAAATGCAATTGCAAATATGTACCTTTTATGGCTTTCTTCACCAAAAAGGGTTCCCGACCCCTGCCCTAGGGCAGGGCTGCTCAACTGGCGGACCGCGGTCCGAATCCGGACCTTTCGAGTATTGGATTTGGACCGCACCTAATTATATATTTTGGATCATTAGCCCCACTTTTTGAATTTCCTATTATAAAATGACTTTCATAGTTTTGAATATATACTAA